ATTTTTCTCAAAAATTGTTTTTACTAATTTGCTTTTAATAACTCTTTCAAAGATTTTTGCGTAGAGAACTCAAGAGACTAGCGGGTGTCTAACTGGTATAGAAATTGGCATAACTGCAGAGGATTTCCAAATGTTTGGAAAATACTGGAGTTTGATGCATGAAGTAGAAAATAGATTACTTCATGGGAAATATTTTTTAAAGCTTTATTTTCGAGGTCATCCACACCAGGAGACTTTTTGAGGTGTATTAGGCGCACTAAACATTTAACGGCGTCATCATTTATGTAGTGTCTCTCTGAGACATAAACTGCACAAGAGCTAACTCGCACAAAAGCTTAAATGACAAGAGACCCTTCATGATTTTATTGACATTTCTCTGCAAAAGTTTATGTTTTGTCACTGCATGGAAAAAGTATGCCTTCTCTATATTTAAGTGGGGAAAAGACATTGTATTTCGTATCCAACAATTGCCTTATATTTCAAAATGGTTTGCTCACTTTGTCTAAAGCATTTATTTAACGATTCCATAGTGCGCTTTTAAGCTTTCGCCACGTCCGAAAATTTGGCAGTTTCGACTTTTAACTGGTTCAGCTTTCTGTTTTCGCAAGTAACTTCAGCGAATAAGAGTGTGGAACGAAGTTTTAACATTCTTATGCAGGGTGTTTAAACGTACGTGGTAAATGGTACCCCCCATGATCGTATGTTATTACACTTAAACTCAACCGGAATGAGTGAATGGGGGTGGGTTTAAATCTCCATTATTTTCACTCTCTTCTTTGATGTTCAGAATTAGAATTAGAATAGAGAGTAAGGTAGCAGTTTTATTGAGGGCTTGGACTCCTTTTCTTTAGCATCATAGCAATTTGCTTACAACGAATTGGTTTCCCTTTCCATTGGATTGAGAATTTCAGAATTTTGGAGAACATGGTGGCTTAAGAGATCTTAAAACTCTTACGTTACGTTACTATCTGATGGTCTCTCCACTTACATTTAAAACAGTTGCGTTAATCTAAGGCAACAAAGACGAAACAAAAGCAAAAAAAACAAAAGCAACAAAAACGAACAAGCGTTATTCACAAATTCCTTTAAGAAGCCGGTTGAACACTCACTTCACGAAGCAGATCACAACAATAGATAAATAATAGTTGCTTTTTACTTATTTTTTCTGTTAATGTGCCTTTGAGTTAGTATATAGATAGTTTTGTTGCAGGTCGACTACCGTTCCTCGCAGTTTAAACGGCATTCATTTTCCGATACTGCTATAAGTAATAAGACTGCTTGGCTTATATTATTGAGTGTTAGTTTGTCAAATTGGAAGAGCGATTTAATTTTATTTTTAACAAACTAAACCAGGGAGTGTTGGCAATTTTTCAGAACTCTTTAGATTGGAAACTTTGTAATGTTTAATTAATTACTGTTATGTATAGTTATATAACGTATATTTACGCCGTTTTAATGGCAGATTGCTTTCCGAACAGACTTTAAGTTATGGAAATTAAGTAGGGCGAAGCATTCTAAATTGCACGTGTAACGCCTTTGAAAATTTTTTCCAAGTTATGTTTTTGTCTACATTTACTCTAAGATACCTAATGTTATCGTGATGCAAAACTTGTGCGCCATTTAACTTCACAGGACAACATAATCCTTTCGTAAGCATAAAACGAATTGAACCGATTTAGATTCTTTGCGTTTAGTTATCAATTTTTTGCGACCACACTGATACATCAAACGCTTTTGGTGTTTGGCTTACAATGTTAGGATCAGCATCAGAACCATCAATGTCATCAAAGAGCGTTCCCGTAAAAGGTGCCCGTGAGAGCACTTTCAGACTAATGTAGATCGCTAGTAAACACCAGATGCAATAATGGACATGACATACTAAACTACAACGTACCTGATTTTACAATTTTAAGATCGCTGAATTCATTGCTTCCTTTCACGTAGACGCTGCGACTTTTCAGGTAAGTTTGGAGGAAGAGATAGTATTATACTGGTAATATTTTCTTCAATTTGAGCTATAGGCCATTGTGGCAATCTGTCAAATACTTTCGGTATATTTAGAAAAATAGATGCATACTATTCTTCAAAAAGCGTTTGTAAATGGCTTCAACAAGTACGTAATATTATTTTATAATTCCCCTGCTGGTGGTTTTGAAACTTTCTGTGTTGGTTTGACGTAAACGTTGTAGATGATAGTGTAACTTTCATTCTTTCAGCATTCGCTTCTTCTTAGTTTTTGAATGTCAGTTATAAGGGGTACCTTTTATCAAAGAGAAACTTGAGATTTAAACAGGCATTAGAGAGTTGTTCTTTCTTTGCTCACAAAGATGTTTAGATACATTTTGATTTTAGCAGTGACCTGTCTATTTGCCACTTCTGATCATATACGCAATACTAACGTTTATAATTTTAGTAAAAACTGGGAAGTAGTTTTGTCAAGGAATCGCATGCATGGTCGTCTTCTCGTTCCTCGGCCTGTTCCCCAAATATTGACACTTTCGCTCTTTACGTTATTAATATTTGTTTAGAAGTAATCAAATTTGTGTATAAGACAGTTTAACTGGACCATTTCGTTTAATGTTTTCATAGTTTTCCTCATATATAATAGGTGAATGGTGTTTGGTTTAGATTACCAACTTGTTTCAGCAATAAACTCAATTTGGTTAGTTTTTACTCAGGTTAAATAGTTTATCATGCCTTTCTTGTGTCAATCTCTTAGCTTATGTGATATGTAAGTAGTTTGTTTGGATGTGATAAAATATCCATACAGAACACTAGATGGTATTGGTAGCTATAATTATGTACATAGATTCATTATTGAGATTCAATGTACCCTTAAAGTTTAGTGAATGGCAGACAATATATTGAAAAGAGACCCACTTAGTCTTTTCACTGTATAGCTTATGTAATTAGTCAGCAGTATGAGTCAAGGGATTAAAAAGTGGTAAAATATCCCACATTTTATAGCTGGTCCCAAGCACGTGAAATTTCTTGCTGGCGTCAGTAATATGCTTTGTGAAATGTTGATATTATGAGACTTATTTTAATTTGATGGCTAATGTTTGAGTCCACCGATGTCAGCTATAGCGGCCTATTGTAAGTTTAAATCTATCTGCCTCTGATCAGTTTAAGCCAAAGTCATTAAACTATAAGTGTGACGTGGTAGCCGGCGAAAACTAAAATTCTACATCCAAACATATAGGAAAAGACGCTGTTTATACTGTTTTCCACAGGGTTTCAGACAGAAGGTATGTAGTTAAATACTAACGTTAGTCTTTGGTAATCTTTTTATTGTATTAGAGCGATAAGTACTGGTTTCGTAAGTGACGCGATTTAACGAGTGATACGGCACAGCGTGTATCATGGTGGACTGTACACACTGTGTATATTATGAATGGATTTCTACGACAAAATACTCATTTTAGGTGAACTTTTCGGATAAGAAGAAAATATTTTCAATATTTATCTAATTTTAGACCTATTATATACGTTTTAACTTCAAACCTGGATGTAATTTGCACGCTTTGATTTTCAGTACTTTTCTCTGGTGTGATTTCATCATCAGAATGAATGACAACTTTTGCACGAAATTTATAAGCTGATAATTTAGAACTAAATAGATGCCAGTCTTGTATGTCAGTTTGTTTTGGATTCGTTGACAATCTTTGCTTTGTTTACAGAGCGCTAAGAGTAATGTTGTAGATGTAGATGTAAGAGCAAGAAATTTGCTACAAAATATAAAACATCGGTCAATAATTCCAACAGAAGATATGTAAATGTTTTATTTGAGAAAACATTGACGTTATTTTACCAAAGTGCCATCAAATGAGGCCTCTCAAAATTCTTTGTCGTTTTTTTCAACCGTTTCCAATGTAGTAATTTTAGTGATGTTAAGTTCATTCTTTTCAAACCAATGAAAAAATCAAGGTTAGGGCGTGCATTTTTGGTAAAAGAAATATCGTTCAAATTCAATATTTTGACTTTGAAAATGTTGTGGCCACTTTTCTCCTTAGAAAAAAAATTGCAATTTGTCAATGGATTGGTAATTCTGAACGGGGTCTGATAATTATTGTTAATAGTCGGAAAACTAAGGTTAAACAGCTAGATCGCATTCTTACGATATCGAAAAGGACTACATTCCCTAATTTATATGAAAGTTTCAGTTTGACAAAGCTGTTATCCAAATGTTCGTCGTTTTACAAGTCGACGATAACAACTGCTGCATAGCCCACCATACACTCTAGATCTAGCTCGCGGCGATTATTATTTTTTTGAAGATGCTAAAGGGATGAACCAAGAAAAAGAATTTGTGTCAAAGGATGAGAACGTTGCGAGAATTCACAGTCGCGACAAATCGTTGTATAAAAAGACCATTGAAATGGTAGGAAAGGTATGGACGGTTATCGAAACCCTTGAGGAAGATAATATTGATAAAGGCAGTCAAATTTTGCAAAAAAAAAAATTAATTTTTTGTCAGTCTCGAGAACTATTAATCGATGCATTAAAGCTGTCATAGCCGTGCATGGTAAAATGTAATTTCTAAATGGAAAGCAGTGGAAAGTTATATTGACTCGTGTTGGGGATGTTAACCATTATATATTAATTCTGTCATTCCATTAGCAAAGTCTCAAGAAAGCTTATTAGACACCTCCTGAAGTGTGTACATTCTTGAGTCGATTTGGTAAACTTTCTCTGAACTCTTGCAAGGCCTATGAATTATACCTATCATTCTCGTATAACTGTCCGGACTTTGCTTGCGATCTTAGTCATCCCGGACTAGGATTAGAACAAATCGTTTCTTAATTCCTAATCATGAATTTTGATCCGTCTACAAAATTAACATCATTAAAATTCTGTTGTTAAGTGCTAGATTATTGAAATTTTGTCGATTGTTAACTAACGGTTATATGCAGAATGTAAACAATATAACCAGTTTTCATTCAATTTTAAATTATTTATTTAGTTACCTTTTGTAAATAATTCATCTCGTTTACATACAGGTCATGGCGGTGTTAATCAGCTAGGTGGTGTGTTCGTTAATGGTCGGCCTCTGCCAGATGTGGTACGGCAACGTATTGTAGAGCTGGCGCACAACGGCGTACGCCCATGTGATATATCAAGACAACTGCGCGTTAGTCATGGTTGTGTATCAAAAATTCTGTCGAGGTAAGTTCCAACATGCAGAAGGAAAAATATATTTATTTGGAATGTGTTCGCTTCAGTATTTCTGGTAAATACGAATGGGCATTGCACTTAATTGGTTGTGCATGCAATGGAATTTTTCAAAGCATAATTACTCGTGTGATCGCGAAAAAATTTTAGAGCAATAAATATTCATGTTATGAAACCGCACACACATGTAGTGGAAGTGAGGCATATATAGAAACACGCACATATATAAATATATTTACAAACATATGTATATACAAACATATATATGTATATACAAACATATGTATATATTTTTCTGAAGAGCGCGACGCGACAATTCATTTTACACTCTGTCGCCAATGACAAAGATATTGTTGTTAATTGAATATGGTTAAAATTGTTGGTTCCTTCACTCAATTGATTCTATATAATTGTGACTACGGCCACTATATATATACTATCAAAGTACCAAATCTTTAATTTTTAGTATAAAAGTTTAACTGTGACGGATTACATAGATATATAGGGCCATTTCCCTTTATATTGAAGGAAGCTTCAGAAACCCTACAAATTATATATCTTCTTTATCAGCATACAACTCTAAATCGACGTAACCATGTCCGTCAATGTAATGTCGATTGCAAACGTTCTAATGTCCGCAAAAATGAAGCTATCAACTTCAAATTTGACAGAACCATTAGAAGTTCTCGCATGCAGGTTTGCATTGAAAACGGGTCAAGTCGCTTAAAGGACACGTCTACAGTACTAAGTAAAGTGAGGAGAAAAATTGGTTTTTTGGTCATTACTTATAAACTACGGTAGACACGTTTACATTAGTTTGAACGTTTATTCTATGGCCAATGCTTCAGTATCTTTACAAAAATGAAAAGTTTGGCCACGTTTGCTTAATTTTATAGGGCGTCATATTTTACTTTTTTTTTGAAAACCATTATAGCGCACAGAAACAATCTTCAAAAATCAATAAAGGATATAAATTTTTGGCCAGCTTCAAACTCCGAAAGCATCTAAGTCCGTCCGTCCATTCATTTGTCCATCTTTTCATCTGCACAAGTGTGGAATATCTATGGTAAACTAAAATATCGCTTACAACCTGCGAAAGAATTGGAAAATGACCCAACATTTTTAACACGCACGCCTTCAAAGCTTAGACGTCTATGTCACAAAAGCTGTGACCACGTTTTTTTTTCGCGTTTTTTGCCTGTTATTCATAAAATACAAAACATACAAGATAGAAATTTCAATTTTTACTCTGAAAATAGAAAAAATCAGCCGCCTCTATCCTATATTGGAGATGATGTTTATTTTTTTTTTTTTCTTTTTTTTAGGATTACGGTGATGGATATAAAAGATTCGGCCGTGACCGAATATAATTTTATTATCTTTTTACATCTAACAATGAAGAATACCCGTGTATTCAGTTTTCAAAACGTTTGCAACATTCAAAGATACACTTCAGTGAAAAATTAAAGCTTCAAAGTTGGCAAGAACGCAAGAAGTTTGTTGTGCGCAGGTTAGTATTGAAAGTGGACCAAATTGGTCAAAAGAGACACTCACTGCGCGACAAAAATTGAGAAAAGCTGTGTTTTTTTAAGTAAGCAAGTAAGAAAGTTGTATTCGGCGAGGCCGAATCTCGCATACCCACCACTATGCTCTTCGCATTCTACTCCCCAAGTTTTTTATCTGATACTCATATCGCTGCTATTATTAAGAAAAAATTTATTGCGGTGTTTATTCTATATCTATATTCATTTTAAAATTAACCCATTTTTAGGCTGATAATATATCTCCATTTGAGGAGTGCAACAAAAAAGTTTTATGTCTTCTTTGTCATATGATAAACAAGCATAAAACCTTAAAAAAGTGAGAAAAATAAAATGTAATTATTTGTAACCTTGTGTGGGCTTGATCGATTACTCCCATTTTTGGATGTAAAAAGTAGAGTGCTACGACGAAATTTTCAGCCCTCTAACTGTAACAATTTCCGAGTAACGAGCCAAAATCCGGCAATTTTTGTTGAAGAAAACTGATTTGCTTTCAATTTACGCCCTACTGCGCTATTCTGTTTTAATCAATTTGGTCCATTTTCAATACGCACCAGCGTGCAGCAATTTGCAATGTTTTTACCAGATTTATAGTCAATATCGTCATTTTTTCGACCAGAAGAGTGCCAACAACACACACTACACGTACACACAGACGGACAGACATTTCTAAATCAACTCGAAATTTCATGCTGTTCAACAATATATATACTTTCTAGGATTTCTGAAGGTTCCTTTTGGGTGTTACATACATTATGGAAAAAAGTAAAATGAGTATACTCCCATCTTACAGTGGTGGGTATAAAAAATGAATTGTCCGTTTATTACTAGTAAGCTAAAAAAGTAAAAATTTGTATATTCTGTGGGCGACCCTTTAGCACCTGCACAAGAATAGGACAAATCGGTCAGTTTATTAGTACAAGTATAAAGTTCATTTTCCTCCAGGAATTTTTACGATAAAGGTGGGGGTATAAAAAATGTAGTTACATCCGCGTATAATGTCCTTTTTTCTTCTTCATGGTATTTAAAATTTGAAACCACATATCGGTATGTAGAAAGTCTTTTCGAGCATTTTTAATAATAAATTCTTTTAAAATCACTCCATTCAATAATAGTTAGTTAGTGAGTTGACAAATATGTTACGATTGAAATTTGTATTTGGATGGACATGGACTAGCGTATGATTACATAAAGAAGTCGAAAAATTGTTCCGAATTCGTTATATAAAAATCATCGGAGGATATTGCAACGTGCACATATCATTCGAACTGCAAGTTTAAATTTTGAACGCGCGTGATGTTCGCACAGTTTAAATATTGAATGCTACAATCTCTTGCAGTATCATATTATCCAGCTTGCATCTTAAAGTGACATCCGTTTTTTTATTCCGCCAAATAAAAAATGCAATGGTCGTAACTGGGGTCCTAGAAACGTTTTCACGAAGTCAATTCAGGCATAAAATTAGTATTGGGACTACAAAATGGTTCGGTTTGTGTTTTAAGAGGAAGGGTGAACGGAACTGTAGAGTGCAGAATAAAACTGCGACAGCTCCATTTGAAGGCACTATCGTTAAGCTACACGTATGAGTAGCCGAGTAGGTAAGAGTCACGACTACCAAACCTGTGTTTGCGGGTTTAAATCTTAGTGCGGTAGAGTTTACTTTGGTCGTAGGTGTAGTGCACGCTCAACCAGGAAAGGCTTAACATTTATCGATTCGACAGCAACCGCTTCTCTATCCCTTTCTCTTTTCATACTTTTTTCCGACCGTGATCGTATTACACGAATAGTGCACATCCCTGAAATACTGGTCATAGAATAATATAAATAAAAAAAAATCGTACACACGTTAGTTTCTTGGAGCTCTGAATGGGTAGTGCTACGCTTCGTTTTCCTGGTTACAGGGTCCCTATCGATAAAAATGAAGATGTCACCCAAATTCGGGGAGGGCAGCTGGATGTAGTGTATTATTGTTCGTTCCAACTAACTGACTGAGGTACGTAACTAATTGATACAATTGAGATAAAAACTTGGCGTTCCGAAAGGCGTGATATGGTATGAAGGCACTCGAGCCCTTATAGCAAAACTCGCTTAGGAAATATTTGCAGTTTTAACTTGGAATGTTCTATCAACCCTGCTGTTATTAGCAGAAAATATTCCTTCGAATTAACACGGGTTTCAACAGATGACTTATTGTTTGCTCAAGCGGTCTTTCGATTGTTGTGACGATAGCCAAATGTGTGCTCGCAATTCGAATTCAAAAGTTATCTGAGAAGTGACAAAGCCTACTAGTCAGCGATGGACAACATTTTTAGAAATCTGGATCGTTTTGTTCTGAAACAAACGCAAATGTGACCGCAAAAAAATGCACCGAACCAATTTGTAGACAAAATAGATTGTAATACCGCTGGAAAAATTGTATTGGGCTGAAGAGATAAATGAATCGTTTTTAATAAGAAGGGTGGCTTCTTCCGTCGGTCACTTCCATTGAAGGAATACTAATGGAGATATCAAGCTTTAGTATTACACTTGAATACAATTACATATTGCTATTACATAGACGAATATATGTCGATATTAAGTGCATACGATGATTTGTATGAAACGCAATTTAATAGACAGCAAACCTTACGTAAACAATAATAAGCTTATTCACTTTTCATTGTTTTTTTATGGTTTATAAATATTATATTACTATGCTGTTTGATTAACCTTTCATCAGGTATTATGAAACTGGCAGCTTTAAAGCTGGTGTGATAGGAGGCTCTAAACCTAAGGTTGCTACACCGCCCGTAGTTGATGCTATCGCAAATTATAAACGCGAAAATCCCACAATGTTTGCTTGGGAAATTCGTGACAGATTACTATCGGAGGGAATTTGTTCACAGGACAATGTCCCGAGCGTCTCATCCATAAATCGGTAAGTGTCATATATATACAAAAAAGAGTTGGCTGTTTTCTCCAATATCGAACATTTTATTAGCAACTTTATTACAAATTTTGCATTTAGTGTCTTGCATATATAGAGAGGGCAGGTTTGGGCCGAATTTGGCGGTGATCTACCGGGGCCATGGTAATGTAATAAGGTTTTTCTAGTAGGTTTTAGCATTTTTCACGACATATCATATATCGGCGTAATGTCTCTGAAAATTGTTATAACACGATTTAGATATTGGATTCTTTCAGTATTTGTACTGTAATTTGGTATAAGATTTAGTAACAATAACTTAGCCTTATTGGTTTAATTAAAAGTTTAATTTGCTTTATATGAGGACGTTTGCTAATATTATTTAATTTTAATACTTATTTTACATGTTTGTTTTTTATTTCGCAATAAACCGTCACTTACCGAAGACATTTTCAGCAAAGACGCGAATCTTAAAAATGTGGGCTATCTTCACTTTAGTAGGAAATCTCCGTTTTCAAAATGAAAAAGAAGTTACTTTTTTGCTCTTTACTCACAAACTAAAATAGGAAAAGCTACTAAAGTATAGCCCCATATTCTATGGGATGTGGTATAGCAGTGAAAAGAATTGACCATGCCTACCCAATATAATAGTCTTTTAAAATCTAAACTTTTTGCCAAAACATTCATACAAACATAATTTCTTGAACAATGTCAAATACTGAAGCACCTAAGTGTATCCTTTTGTTCGCTTGCTATCCGTCTGCGCATTTATGTAACATCTGTAGTAAAAATTCTCCCGTTGGAAAAATGACTTTCTCAATAAAATTTGGTGAAAATATTCCAAATTTTTGCAAGTTTTGCAAATTGAAAATAAAGCAAATCGTTGAAAGGACATGCCTAGAGTGCAGCGTAAGCAGAGAGTACCTTTACCCCATGATTTTTTTGTTTATTGTTTATGAACTGACACACAACCTAAATTCCCATAACTATACTAAAAAACAGAAAATATTAGGTACGCCCGTTCAAAATTATGGAGTACGACGAGTTCGTTTTCTCGTTTTTAGTACTTGTTGGAATGAAGGCGCTGCTTATAAAAAATTCTGTAATAGCCAAATATAATCTTCTTACTTGTTTTATACAATATTATTATGAAAAGTAATACAAGTGGTTTTTTATACTGCCCGCATGTACATTTTGAAAAAAGTTTTGTACGCACATATGACTGAAGCCGAGCTGATTTCGTATTCATTTTGCACGAAAAATAAGTAAGCAGATTATATTTCTTCTTTTCTTCGCACCTACTTCCATAACCCCCAAAAAAAAGAATAAATGTTCATACTCTACAACATCGGGTAAGCACGGTTGATTTTTTCTATTTTTAGAATAAAAGAGAACATGTGTCGCACTTTACGAGTAACTAGCAAAACACACGAAAAACAAAGGTTTTTAATAATAAAAACCTACATAAGTAGATGCGTGTGCGTTGTAGGTGTGTACTTTGTAAAGTATGGGTCACTTTCCAATCCTTCATGCTCCCAAGCAGGGGTTAGTTTACCACAGATGTTACATAGCTAGGCAGACGTTTCTCTACAAAAATAGGGAAAATCGGCCACGCTTGTTTATTTTTATAGTGTATAATACTTTTCTTTTCTTAAAACTTTTATAACGCGCAGAAGCCAAGTTCAAACTCCCATAAAGTGTATAAATTTTTGATCGGCTTCAATGCGTGTTCGCCCATTTATCTGCCTATCTGTCCACTTGCGCAGCTACGTAACGTCTGGGGTAATCATTCTCCCGCTCACAAGAACGAAGACGTTGCCTACAAACTTGCGAAAGAATTTGAAATGACCCAAACTCTACAAAGAACACGACTACAAAATTCACACGTGTATAAAACAAAAACTATGAACATCTTTGCTTTCCGTGTTTTTTGCTGGTTATTTATAAAGTACAATACATACACCATATAAATTTCCACTTTTATTCTAAAACCAAATAATATCAATCGGTAGGCACGGTTTAAAGTATGAAAAGTTATATCTTTTTCTTTTTTTAGGACCACGGTTATAGGTATAAAAGATGCAGTCACAGTCGAATACAACATTCCTGCTTGTTCTATTTACAACTTTTAATTATGTTAAATTGATCTATGTAATATGTAAAATAAATTATAAGTATATAAACTATAAAATTTTTATAATTTGGAATTTTAAGAATTTTTTCGTGAAATCTCTCAACTAAAATCAAAAGTTTTCACTTTACCGGCAAGTTAAATGTAAATACCAAAAGGAAGAAAGGTAAAGCAATGAAAATATATGTTTTTGTACCACGTCAGTCTCGGTAGAGTGGCGGTGATATTTATTTGAGACGATGATGTCGTATCTGACGTATCTTAAAATTCTCCAAATTCACACATTTTCAAATGTGCAAATATACAAAAATATATGTGTAACTTATCAGCTTAAAACCCGTAGATGATTTAATCACAGTTCGTGTATATGTGATTAAAAGTCTCAAAGCAAGGAAATTCAAGGAATTACCTTGATATTGATTTGTTTCGCCAGGAAAAAGTATAAAAATTAAAACCTATCGTTTTTTTTTTTTTTGGAAAGAATCACATTGAAAAGCTAATTTTTGTGCCACTACCGCTGTTTACAAAAATGTTTTGGAAAACGTCAGCGTCTCTCCAAGCTCTATCAATTTTTCAGTCATTGGGGATTTATTTGTTGTCGTATCACCTCACGCCCTAACTCTAGCTATATTGCTCGTTACTATACGGTATATATATCAAGTCCCGCTTATTTACTAATATATGATATACGTATTAATGATGATTAGATTCGAGCATTTCAATTCCTTGAAAAGTATATCCCTCTTTTCCAGTTTCATATATGTTTGCATTTGTAAGCTAAACATTATTAAGGATTTGCAAAGCCTTAAATATAGAAGGTTTATGCATACACATTTATATTATAACAAGAAATGCAATGAAAGCAATAATTTACACCAAAAATTCTTCCTTAAAAACGAATTCAGAAGCACAACAGCCAGTAAACAATTTCAAGTCAGTCACAAATAATTCGATGTTCTGATTCATATTTTGACAATACCTAATTATGGTGGAACAGTAACCTTCCACTTCAGTTATATATTATTATTATAAATATATACGTAATTATCATAATAAATCACTAAAAACACACTTGCGAGAGTGATAGATAGACGTTCTTGCTAAGACAAAACAAGTTGACATTAACACACATACACATGTTTTGCCACTTGTTATGAAACATGACATTAATGCTCTTACCGTCAACGTTGATAAAATCCATACGTGCCACGTGCAAGCATTCAGAATTAATTCGTTGTGCATTAGTTTTTGGAAGTTACGTTGTGTAGACGGAAGTACATAAGAATTCTTTTCGTCGACGTTAGGGTCTACGCTCGGTACAATAAAAAAGATGCGTGGTTAGATTCTAAAATATTTTTAAAAAAATATCGTCTAAATTGGTTTGTAAGTAAACATTTCTGTTATTAGAAACTACGCTAAATTGAAAAAGCTTCTTTAAATTAAACTTATAGAATTTTCATATAAAACATGACTTATAGTACATAAATTCTACGGCCTATTTAATTGTGTTTACCTATGTGTTTTACAGTTGTAATTAGGGCTCCAATATTTGGCAATTACTACATCTCATTTTTTTTCGATATGAGAAAACTTATAATCAACAGTTTTTATTTATTTATTTATTTACATATATAATTTGCGATAATAAGTAAGTCTTATGCAGGGTGAAAAAAGTAAGAGACGTTATCCTCACCCAATTAGAACAATAAACCTGTACAGATATCAGGATTAAATAAACGAGTAAGAAAGCTATATTTGGCTGTGGCCGAATCTTTATTGCCAAATTTTACATTCCCAATTAGGAGCATGTTTACCATAGATATAACACAGATGAGTAGACGGACATGTAGTCGGACAGACGGCTTAACTGAATCTTAAGTTTGACACTGGTGAAGAATATCTGCTCTCTATGAGGTGCAAAGGTGTTGACAAAAAGACGAAATTTTGATAAATTATAATATTTAATGAGCATGACCTATATGTTACATTTTGGTATAGGTATTATAGAACCGAACAGAATGTGCTGGGAAATTGTTTTAACCGGTGTCGGTTGTGAATAAGCAATTTTTCTGCCTTGAAAAAAAGAGGTATCAAATTTACATGCTGCTTTAGGCGTGTATATATATGTACATTACGGAGTCTGTGGAACTTCTTTCTGAGCTTCGCAAATGTTTTCACGAAATGAATTCACAGCTGCTCTTCGCTATGTTAATACTAGAATATTAGTAATATATATGAATATTAATAAAGACTATTGCGACAAAATATGTAGATTTATAAAAGAGTATAAATGAATACACTAAAAAAATATAATTGTTTATGCCAATATTAAAGCTTAACTGTTTATTAAAGTAGATGACCAAAATGTATTAAATATAATTACGCTGACTAAGATAATAATATTAATAATTATGTTAAATGTGTTATATTCGGCACAAGAAGCATGTTTCTAAGAACGCTTTGTTAATTCAAAACTACAATGTATGCAGGAATGATTGTGCTGTGAACGGGGGTGGAGGCGTCACCATCTGAGCATCTAACAGTTTAAAGTTAAGCGTAGTATTTCATTGTCTACTTAAAGCAATTTGCAAGAATTTATTTATACAATTACCCTATGGTAACAGCTAAAATTATACAGATACCGAAGCACAGATATTTATTAATCTTAGACAATTTAAAACCAATTAGTTGTCTGGCGTCCTTTTCTGAAATTGCAGAATCCTTTATTAAGCAGCAAATCGAACAGTTTTATTGCGACCAAGGCGGTGTTCAGTCAGATTGTCAGTTTGGACTTGTTCCTTGCCTTAACACGTCTGCTCTTCTAATTCTATTAGTGAATTAATAATAGAAACTCTTAATCATTATGAAATCTCCATTCTGGTCTCGCTGGCCCTTTCCAAGGTTTTCGGCAAATCCCCTCATACTGATTGAAAATTTTTATCGCAATTTCAATCTCTCTAGAAGTGCATGTAATCTTATGCAATCTAACCTACTAAACCGCAAGCAACCCATATCTATTATTAATATTTTTTTCGGGCAGCTTAAGCTATTTCAGAAGTTCCTCAAGGATCTCTTTTAATTCTTTTGTGAATAATTTAACTGACGTAGAGACAAATGGGAGTAGTTATTTTACGTACACCAAGTCTTCTAAACTAAAATGAAGGAATATCTAGCAAGAATAATGAATAACTGGATATTCAACAATTCCCTCTCCAGTCCAGGTGACGTCTTGGAGTATTATTTGTAGTAGTAGCGAATTAAACTTTAGCCCAATATGCATAATAGTAACACGAAAGTTTTTCCAACTATGCGAAAACTCTACAGTCTAAATTTTTATCTGCCACTCAACATCAAATCTAAACTCACCTACTTTCTTTTAAAGTCATACAAAGTCATATCATAAAGTCATAAACTACTGCGCTTGAACTGCCCATAAATTTCTACGCTTTATCTATAATATTCGTCTCAGAGATCATGCATCCGCTTATCATCAAACTTTCTTAAAATGTTTCATTTGAAAATTACCTTATATATAGATTTCTCGTTTATCTATTTAAAATTATCAAATTTAAACTATTAAGTTGGATAATCTCACTTAATAGGCGGTTTCAGTTTAGCAATTTAGTATGAATTCTCAAATAATTAATCCCTCCTAACGGCTTCAGTTGTTGAAAAGTCGTTCGTTGTACGCTACGATAGTTATTGGAACAATTTGTCACCAGAGATTCAAGCTGTTAGCAAGGCTGTTAAGCAAGGATTAACTACCTTGATTAATCTATAAGTATTACACATATTGGCTATGGCGTCTCATTCATATTATTTTAAAAGCTCTGCAAAAGGTTTATGAGCTTAACTACTAGGTCGTAATGTAATTGTCAAACTACTCGAACATTGAAAAATACTTAAACTATGTAACCGTGCACGGATTTGACTTTTATAAGCCTTGCAGTTGTAGAATCAACAGCTTTTAAATTGAAAAAGCTATCTCCTATAATAAACGGAAATACTAAATTGAATAGTCTAAATGGTTTTTAAGTCAATTATATATTATACCAGTGTGGCGCATAGCTGCCGAGTAACCCACATTAAAAATTTGCATATATGCCAAAATAAACTATTGAAAATTACGCTCAATTAATTTGATGACAAAAGCAATACCTCTGGACAATAAGCAAAAACCTCTGGCTAAAAACCCGGACGATGCGACGATGCACGTTCTAGTAACTGAAAACAGACAGACGGGCAAATAAATGAGTCTAAAGTGATCGCACGAAGATATATATACTTTATCAAACCTTTACTGCGTATCTCAATATTTCATCCATGGAAATTAGCTTAAAAAATAGATCTCTTCGATGCCATTTGTAGAGTCTCATTCGTTGCTAGCATATATGTAAAGTCACATTTATCTATTAGTGAAAATGATAAGGTAATGCGAAGCATTAATATACACGACGGTTAAATTTGATGATTTTGAAAATCCCAAGTCCCCAAGCAAAAAGTCGTGGGTTAGTTCAAGAGAGCCACCCACATCGACATCGAAGCGGAATATTCAAGGCCATAACGTTTTGGTATACATACGGTGGGATCATTAACATGTTGTGTGTTACGAGTTCCTGACACCAATTAGAGCTGTTGCCGAAAATGTCTATTGAAATCGTTTGAACAAATTGAATGGGCGTATTGTTGCAAAAAAAACCAGGAATAGCATCTGAAATGACTACAATACGAATCGACTGAAAATGTCATTTTGGCCAATTGTTGTCAACGATACGCTGCTGCAGCTCGAATGGGAAGTTCTGCCACTCTCAGCATAATCACCAGGCGTGTTACCTTCTGAGTACCACTTGTTCAGATCGACGCAACGTGGCTTGTCTAACACGCGGCTCCGCAAAATTTGAAATGTGCGACAATGGGTTTATGATTGTATTGGCTTGCCAAACCAATATAAATACCAAGATATCGCCATGTCACCAAAAAGATTCGTAAAAGTTGCAGAAAATGATGGGAAATATTTTGATTAATCTATATTGTACTAATTTTTCTCAATAAATGCCTTTTTCAAGCCAAAAAATTACCAAAATCAACGCAACGCATAATTACCAGTTTTTCAAACCATTTTGGTTCCATTGCAAATACTATGTTAGATTAGCAATTAGATCTGAATGTAGGACTATTTGAATTGTTCTTCATACGCGTTTTTCACTTTCTCAATTAACTTTTAATCTTAAAAGCTTCGTGTGACTTGCAAATTGCTCACTACTGTCATTTGACGAGCTTATGCATGCTCGCAACTGCTTAGGAGTTCCTTCGCAACTAGTATTTATACCTGCTGCGAGTGTGCCTCTGTGCTAGATTTCTATATGCTTTTTTCTTTTTCTGTGTACATTTTGTAATAGTTTAGTCACAGCACTAAGCGTTATTTCTAAGAATTAATGAAATTCGGGTGTTCGGCACATAGCTGTACTTATCACGAGTGCATTCATGTGGATTGGGATCCGATAAATAGACCTATGTGGTCTAAATTTGCTACGATTTATTCAATGTTAATTTTTACGGCTCACTACGAAATATTGGACCATTCTCCCATAAAAAGGCTTGCCTTTCGTAGGATCCGTTATCCAAATTTTTACCATCAATTTAATAAGCCGAAATACGATTATTTAGTCATTTGGATCCGGTCCAACCGATTTGCAATTGCATCCATCTCTGTGCTAAAACACATTCGGATGCCAAACTGATTCAAAATATCTCAAAGGTTACAATCTGAACACAAAAATACATGGACAGATATGAGGTGATCCGATAGATCGACATGCATATACTGATGAAAACGTGGGCTCAACTTAAATCCTTCTGGATGCTACATACATCCATACCAACTTAATATAACCTATACAACGAATGGTGTAGGGTATAAAAATCAATCACATGGCTGTCTTATATCCTGTTGTTTTTATTTCAAATAAAAGAATATATCGCTTATTATCAAGTTCATTACACTTTAAACTGAGCATATGCAATTTTTATAAAAACACTGTTCTGTATAGCAGTACACACGATCCACGATGCCGATAAAGAGTGTCTCTAAGTAGGCGCAACACAGTTTTGAAACTACTATGTCCCTTATATTAGCGTAACGGTCAGTATAATCGAATACGATTTCTTTGTCATTCTGTTCCAAATATTTCTATAATACCACAATTAGAAACTCTGTCCGAATTTTTCATCGATAACAGCAAAAAGCGATTCAACAACTTTAAATTAAAGCAAAGGTGTCTACGTGCTATGAATAATACAATTCAACACAAAAACTTCAAAAATGTGTTTGTAACTTATCAATAAAAGTAATCGAAAGATCTTGACATGTATGCAAGAAAACACTCTAAAATATGTATGTTAATTAAAGAACAAAGACGAATGGATGAAGTCAAGATTTTATGTACATTCCTCTATATATATCTTACTCTCCACCAAATAAAATCATAATAAATAATAAATTCTTGACAACTAAAAAAAAAATAAAGACACATTAAGCTTCACAATCTCGGTGAATCGTACGTAAAAATCCTTATCAATTAGTTTAATTTAACAACTTGAATTTTATATGTAAGTGTTACGTGCATGATAAGCTTGTGACTAGACACAACTTCTTTTTTCCTTAAAGTTGCCTCCCGTTTTCAATGGTAATGTGATAAGATAACATTGACACCATTGCTTGCACACAAATGGATTTTAACATCAGGTATGGTAACAGCTATTTTAGTCGATTAAGATAATGGCGACACCACCTAAGCCTACTAATACTATTGCAAATCCAAAAACAAAGCATTTGGTTTATTTTTATGCACACAATTGAGACATATGTTGTTGAGAAAATTCCCCGGGGGCTAACAACCTTTAAATGTAATTTAAAAGATTTTGTCCAATTCACTCGGTTCGGTGAACTGATTGATTCACCAGCCCTCACTCGCTTAATAATCGAATATGAGCAAGAAGATGCGGATATTTTGACAATAATGTCAATTTTTGATAACATTTGTAGTATGTTTATATATTTTGAATTTGACCTTTTAATGTGTTACATAAATTGAAGACCTCTTTTGGTAGCATATCCTCGAAGTAAAAAAAGGAGGGTTTCTTAGAACTACTAAATAGCTGACATAGACAAAGGAAATCTATATATATATATATTGGAAATTCGGCACTAATAGTACGTTAACAGTATAATAATCTTATTATTTCATATCATTTGCTAGGTATGTAAAATATCTATGCATTTCCTGTACCAATAGATATGGTTTCTTCTTAATCTTACAGAATTGTGCGTAATAAAGCAGCAGAAAAAGCCAAACATGTGCATCATCAGCAGCAACAAAGTAATAACAATAACACTAGCGGTGGAGGTGCTGCAAGTGGAGGAAGTGTGGGTTCAAGTAATGTAGGTGGAGGCGCGACAAACCTAGATCCAATGGATAATAACAATGAATTGGTAAATGGTACCAATAGCAAAAACGATGCGAGCAACAATCACAACGGCACAATTAATAACGGCGGCAATAGCATCAATAACAGCCTAAGTGCTTCATCTGTGATTGGACATGCCCCAACGTCAACAGCAGGAGCTACATCAACGGTATCAGCAACTACAGCAGCGGCTATACAACTGCAGCAGCAAAATATACTCAGTATAACAGGCTCCGCGAACGCAAGTATTCATAATGGCGCCAACAATAATGCAAATAACAATAACAGCGGTAATAACAACAACAATGTTATCGGTGAACATCGTACCACCGGCTATAGCATAAATGGAATTTTAGGTATACACCAGTCGCATCATCAAGCTCATCAACATCATCACAATCATCACAATCAGCTTCATACTCAACAGCATGTTCAGAACCAGGGCCAGCAACATATCCACAATTCCACAACAGTAACAACAACAACTGATCCCAACGGTAACAACATTAAGCGGAAACGTGTTGAAGAGCATGGTAAGTTAATATTTGAAGTTATGTTAAGTCTTGAAGGAGGTTCGGTATAAATCTCTCTCTCTCTGTCTCTCTTTCTTTCTCGCTCTCTCTCCCTCTCCCTCTGATTGCATTTTTTGCATTTGCGAAAAATAAATTTTCGCCACATCCGAAAAATTTTCATTCGTAGAATAGGGGCAAAAATATGAATTAAACGTGTGCGGAATTTTTAAAAAAGGTCACTGTATTTAAAAATATATGGATGTTTCGTAAAAGAAGAGTGAAATCTCAATTGTCGAAGGATAATGTGAATATTTATAAGCTTCTTGAGAAAATGTTGAATAAGGGCCCATTTGTATCCATAAAAAGCATTCAAATAGGCTTCGAAAGTGCTTTAACAAAAACGAAGTCTTGAACAACCCGTACAGAAATTTTCTGTAAGAATTTTCATTAAAAATTATACGACGATGCCAACATTTTTTTTTAAGACATAGGAAACGCTATAACCTTACCGTAGATATTCACCTCTTCGCCTTTCTTCCCATCATCATTGTTTGGGCTTCGTAAGGCATTAGGTGCTCATCGCTCGTAAGCACTTCGCAGTCTTTCCGTTTGCGTTTTTGCGTTTTTTGGCACATAATTACACCCTTTAAAAGTTCAATGAAACCATATCGGGCACGTTTCAGCGAGATACAGTGTCGTATAGCTTAAAGGCGGCACTTTAAAATGAAGGAGTCACAGTTTTGTTTAGTGCCCTACAGTACTGTTTATATTCTCTGTTAGAAATCGGCAAAGTCAAATTCAATTGTAATCAAAATATGCTACTATGCAATACTTAAGATGCAACTAATGTGAAAAAATGTGCTACCGTCGAAATGCAAAACAAAATTGTGACATATGTTTAATAAACACTTGAGAGAAGACATGAATTCATGCAGTGCGCACGCCTGTAAACAAAAATTGTTTTATCCTGCCCGGGTTGAGAAATAACGTAATGTAACCAACTATGAAATAGATGAGAAGAAGACGTACATTCAAAGAGACACTGTCATATATAAAAAGAAGGCGTACATTTCGATGGTCCAATTCGATGATTGGCTTAAAAGTTAGGTCCAGTTAAAATGGAAATGGAGAGAAAATCAATGATGAAGTGTCACCCTTCAATGGAAAAATGGAAACAGCGAGAGCTCTTACGAAGAATTGTGCAATAAGCTTGAAAAGATGAAGGAAAAAAATTTTATAAGAAGGAACTATTTCCCTTTAGGCTAAAAAGGATATTGTTATTATTAAGTGTATTATTATTATCACTTATATTATTATTATATCATCAATGGTATGAAAATTAAAAATTTCTATAAAATTTCTCTAACAAAGCAAATTCAAACATTAAAAAACCAAAGTTTGACATCTCGATTTATTCTTTTATGGTTTTTAAAAATATGCGTTGAATGTCGACTACGCTGAACACACGAAAAATCAGAAACTCTTAAGTTCGCTTCATTAACAAATGGTGGTCAAAGACAGCCCTACAATAAGGAGCACACTTAAAGGGGGTTGTTGCTGCATCTCATTTTTAGCTCTGTTTTCATCCTTTAATGATAATGTCTTTGCCCGTCTGTTTCTTTCAGAAAGAGTATTTTCCTTTATTTATATTCCCCGAATAAATGTCAAAATTATTTATTATGAATTGAATAACAGCCACACACGTATGTATACACAAACATTGGTGCTTTAAACCGTGAACGACAACAGATGTAATGTAACTTTACCCTGACACTGCCAAAAAAATGCGTAATTGGTAGTCTTTCCAACCATCCGTTCGCATTACAGCCATTATGAAATTTATTGACAACGACAAGTGGTTGCAATCATTTTCGGCAAACAGCACGAAAACTTATTGTGCCAAATGGCTTATTTCAAACCAAAAAATGTTGCTAAACAAAAAAACAATTAATTGAAGCTTGGTTGCTTACTAATCAACAGCCAGAAAGATGTAAGAAAATAAAATTCACTTTAATACGCATAACCTTAGTGTAATACAAAATCTTTAAAGTATAATTTAACTTACGGAAATCTTAGTTGACCAATCAAATTCCCCATTGCGCTAAAATCTCCAGTTTGGATTATGAACTAGAGTTTCGTTTTGACGTAGTCATGTCAATTTTTGCATTAAACTTTCAAAAACTGTAGATTCACAGCACTCATGGACTACGAGTTGAGTTTGTTGCGGCCATACTATGTCGACTTTAACGCGGCCGCTAACTTCGATTCGGTTTCAGGTCTTTATTTCATAGCTAAATTGAAACCTCTGTTTAAACAAGAAAATATACAAGAATATATATGTTTTTTGAGACTCTAATTTGTAGTTCTGGGTGTTAGAAAGCAAGAATAGAATCTAGCATATCCATCGTGATACATATAAAAAATAAGAGGCTTATCCTTATTGTACACAATATAAGGTTATGGATATGTAATCAATACGGTTGTTGGTTGGTAAAATAAGGCGTGTTAAGGAACCTTCAGACCTAAGTCGTGAATATTCGGATCCAAACAAAAGTGCTATCTCTTTGTCAAACCTCTTGACAAACTCCTTTTCAATTAAATATATATATATATTATATTTTATAACAAGTTTAACACTCTGGACATAGTGTAATGATAGCTATAAATGAAAAAAGCAAATTTTTCAAATAGGATATTGCGGTAAGTTTAATACGTCCACCCTTAGTTTTGCCAATATTGTACCGGTCGTTGCTTATTTCTCGTTTTCTACTATGAAGGCTTTCATGTGTGCTTAATACATATAAATACATACCACAAATGTCAAAATCAACAACTGTAATAAAATTATTGATAACATCTCTGCAGTAATAGAAATCATCGCTTGTATAATATCCGTCATGGCAATCGTTTGTTATGAAAAAAATGAGCAAGTATTATAGTTTTCAAAGGAATAAGAATAAGACGATTAAGATGACTTTAACAGTTCCATATAACACTCGAAACGTAAAATTGTATTAGCGTTCGTTTACTATAATTAAATATAGGCGAGGTAATTCGTCGCATTAAGAATTTGCCCCAACGTTGGTCTTTTGGAACGTCTTAAAGTCTACTTTTATCTTAAAGCCGCGGAACATACAAAGAAAATTTGAACTTTATAGAATTCAAGATAATTTGGAGCATACAATCATCTTTTTTCTGTGAGCAGCATTTTGGGACTTGTAAATAGATAATAGTCGCTAATCCCAAATCTGAAGTGTACGGTTAACGGAACAACGAGTCAAACTTCAATTCGTGCAATTTTGGCCTGGTATCAATGACTCTTTTTCCACTATCAGTACTATTAAACTACTACACTACTGTTCTATTTCAACAGTAGGTCAGTACGTCTATGATTTTGATTTCCCTCATTGAAGTTATGAGAAATAATCTTAACAATGGAGGTGTTAGCTTAGTGTCACTCCTGATCTAACATACATACATACTAAACTTATCAAAAAATTGTATAATAAACTTAAATCCAGTCAACTACGTGGTGTAACTTGGGTAGACTTAAGCAAATCGTCAACCGGACTACAAGATTTGTCTATAATCTGAGACTAAGAGGCCTCGTTTCTGCTTTCATCCACGCTTTTTTAAAACTGTCTTTATAATGGATACATATATGATCTACTGATAGAAATGCTTCTGGCTGTAAAATTACTTATATTGAAGATTACTGGGAGAAAAGCAGTAGCCTACATTTTCTGCGCATAACAGCTCCAGTCAACTTCAGTTTTTACATTAACTTACCGCCTACAACATTTTTTTTGCCTAGTATGAAAGACGCTTATTTTTATGAAAAATTTTATTTTTAAAAGTAAAAGAATGTTATAAAAAATAGGGATTAGACGTGAGTTATTCAAGCTTCGGCAGTTTGAACAAGTGTTTGTGTGACTTGCTTTTACTTGAAATTTTTAGCTTTGTTATTTGAATATTACAACAAATATATCCCTATTTTTATCAATGAAATCAATTTTGTTTGTCGACAACCACTACATCGCTTGATTTTTTGTCATAAATGTCCTATCGGACAATTAACTAACAATTTTAGGTTTTAAAATTAAACTTTAAACAAATTATAGTTGCTTCTTTTTTGCTCTCAGCTTTGCCTATCAGCTTTACGAAGGTTCTCAAAAGTTATTATATTTAAATTCGAGAAGGTATCCGCAAGCGAATACTTCATCAATTGTCTGACACGAATCACCGCTATAATTAATTGAAACAAGAAAAAAAAATGTTCCTATTCACATCACAGCTTGAAGTTTGTCTGGAAAAATTTTAGTGAAATAATACATCGGTTAACAATTCCAAACACTAAGACAACAAATTTTCTTCACAACCTTCGTTGGTTTGTGAACATAACGTCTATAGTTATATATCCAAAGATTCTCTAGCGTTTCGATGCGATAGAACCATTTGTTAAAACTGCCAGGTGTCAAGTTTCTTTCCTACAACATCTTCTTGAAATTTTCAAATAAGTGATAGTCGCTGGGATCCAGATCTCGAAATGCAATATTTAACCTTTGACATGGTGCATTTGTTTTATTGTTATTAAGCGCTGTACTCATCTTTCTCAGGCTCAAATTTTTATGCAAAGTGCTAAATACTTGGCTTAATCTTTAGGATGGTAATTCCCTGCGTGTTTGCCGACAATATTTTCAGGATTGTTGTGATATTTTCTGCTCTAATCGTAATTGGCACGATTATTTTGTAAATACCAAAGATAGCGTCGCTGATCATAAATCGTCGTAAACCATCCAAAAATCATTGAAAGTGCCTTAAAACTTAATAGAGATCGTTCAAGGGTTCGTGTATTCTAAAAATAGCAGAGATTTCTTATGTTAGACGACATATATGTTTCAGTTCCGGGAATCATTGATCAATGTTAGCAAAACAAAAGTCAAGATCTACTTATTCTACAGTTACGTCCACTACGCCTTACTTTTGTTTTTCCTACATTAAAATCAGGCACTATATTGAGAACATTTAAAATTAAAACTAGAGGACGTTATAAATGGTTTTTGAGGATAAAACTAATACAAGAAAAATTGTTGAAAATCTCAACCTCTCTATTGGACTTAAAGAAAGATGGCAGTGACACTCTCAAAACAACTGAAGTAATGGACTTTTGGGGATATCATATACATGTACATAATACGTTGCAGTTTGCATATATTCTGTTTGCTTCGGACAGGGGTGGGCATATTTTTACATTTTCTTCACTCCATTCTTTTTTAGGGCACGTGATTGTTTTTCCGTTGACATTTGTGACATCTAATTTGAGAGATGGTTGTTGATTTATAACAAAATCCATTTAAGTGACACGTGCTTTCTTCCACATAACAAACACGCATTGAATATGATCTCTGACGCGACGTATTAAATTTTCATTGAGCCAGTGTGAACAAGTGAAAAATGAGACGAAAGTTAAATACGCTTCACTTAACTTACGTACAGCTTATTGTCGGATTTTAAAATTAACTCATTAACCATTTTTCTGTTGTTGTAATTTCCAAGATCGTAAGAGCAGAATTAAGGCTATAAAATTTGTATATTATTATCATTTGCCGCCTTAATTGCTCGATTTAAAATTATTTCTATCAATTGCTAGCCAATCCCTTTAGCAAAATTCGATATATGTGTCATGATGGTAATCAAGTACCTTTATTTCTTAATAAGTTCATTAATTATATGGCATGACACTTTCTCACAAAATCTCTAGTGCCATGATTGGCTACCAAGGGCTTTTGATAATAAATGCCACTAGCAGATAATGAGAGTTAAGTTCAAGCTTAAAATCAAACTTATATAAATAAATTACGTTCTTCCCACATCTACACCTATGCATTACCTACGAAATTAGTTACTAAATTTCAGATCTTATATTCACTTGCTCTCATTTTCATTTCATCTCAATGTTTTATGTATTTCAGTAATGCTGATTTCGGATGAAAACCGTGATATAAACATGCATGTGGATGAAGACATTAAACGTCAGCGTTTAACGTACAGCAGCGATCAAATCTATTCAAACGTAAGTAAAAATTAATTTATATATTTACGTACACGGTTTTACTCGCGGAATATAGAATAGAAATTTATATTCGGGCTTATCCGTTTATATATAAGAAAACTGTAGAAATAAAAACTTGTGCAAGTGAGGAATAAATAGAAATATGTAAAAGATTGAATTATTCTTTTTAGCCGACGTTGGCAATGGAAGGTCAGAATATGAGAAAGAAAATTAGGTTTATGCGTTTCAAAAATAAAAAAATATATATACTGCTTAGGCGGAACCATCATCTGCAAAAGTGAATTTTTTAAGAAAGCCAAGGTAGAACAGGGACGACTTTTTGCATTCATGTAATCTCAACTTATTTTTGCATAGAAGTATATTACGATCATGTATGTCGAACACATTTCCATGTCTTACCAGACGTCAGTTTATGTAGTTGCTTGTATTTTTTTTTCTACCTTTTTTTAATTTTTAAATAAGAAGAAACCGAAGGGTACTAAACAATTGTTAAGTTGACCCAAGATGTTAAAATGACCAAGTTTGAAACAGAATTTATTTTGTAGAGGTAGACCATATTACTTATTTATTATTTTTCCCGATTTGCTTTTGCTTTCTATTGCAGATCTGGTCTGGAAAATGGTGCATTAAAGACGAACATAAAATACTTTCAGAGTTAGGTACTTTAACAACAAATAGTAGTAGCGTAGCTGCTTATTACGACAGTCACAGCGGTTTTCCTGCAGCGGTGTCGTCCCACACACACACAGCCAACGTTAGTGATAGCATGCTATACGACAGCATAACCAGCATATCCGGAACCCAAAGTTCATTATACACCCCAGCAATTGGTGCTTCTATTGGTAAGTTGAAGTAGACGGGAAATAAAAATAGAAAAAAGTATTTCATACGAAGGCACTAAACCAGTGATAGATAGCACATACTAATAAACACACAGCACCAACGACACATTCGTACTAGAAAAGCATGTTTGTGTATGTTTTGCATGATATGTATTCGAATATTTTAACTCCTGCAAATGGTCACTTGACTTGCTTGCAAAGTCTAAGTTATACTCAATTAAACACATTTTTCATCGCTACCACAGCACTTTAATAATATTCTTTCAGCCGGTCTTCTTCCTTTCAATCAAAAAGTGTTTAAATTTATCGTTCTTAGATTTTAGTGTTGCTATATTAATATACGTACAAAAATTGCAAAATGTGTCTTTATTTATAGAACAACGTCGATGCCCGGATTTCTCTACGTAATTTGGTTACTTCAAAAAAGTTATTACAATAAATCGGAATAAATAATCGTCTTTTGTTTAACGAAAGTACTTAAAGGAACATAGGTATTTTGTAGCGTTCTGACATAAGTAGACTTTTAACAAACAGTTTGATTCATTCCGTACAACCTTACCGCCAAAGTACGTACAAATGCCCTTCAAATTTTGAAGAACGTTATCGTGCAAGTAATATTCTACCCGTAATTTTATTGTGAACAATATCACACGGAGAGGAACTCATGGTGTAGTCATATGCAAACGTTAAATTGACTTGACGATTTTCTGTAAGTGGTGTTCTAATTTCTAATCAGAAATTTATAAATTTCAATTTTGTTTTCACAATAATTAGAAAAAAAATTTTAAAAAAAATTAACGGGTGGATACTTGCAACACTTTTATGTGATCTTGAAGAGATTTAGCAAAGGTGAGGGTTTACAAAAACTTTATTAACTACTCCATTAATCAATATCAATGAGGTCACAACCTATCAGATTATTAAAGCAATTGGGGAACAAGAGCGATACATTTAAACTTGAAGACTCTCTCTAGAAGCAATTTTGTTGACTTCCTAAAGGCTTTCAAATAGAATGTTATAAAGGACTTAAAACCACATGAAAAAACAATTTCATTGCCTTTTCAATTAATTTTTAATAATATCTCTTCTTTTTACTGAAAATTTGAAAACATTCGAAATATTTTGAAAAACACATCACTAAACCCAAAAATGTCGATCCTTTTGTTTTCATGCAATATAAGAAAACATTAAAAAAATATTAAATATCTGTTTATCGTTACTATTTTCAATTGTATATAAGCAGCCACAAATGAGTCAGACTGCATGCTTAAACTAATCAATTTGGCTCGCTTTGAAAGTGTAAATGTTGTTTGGAGGTAAATATGTTCTTCAAAATATTGTACTGTAATTTTAATTCAATGTATTGTCAAAGGACGGGAATGTGTTAACTTGGTTAGTTTTTCCATGGAGTTTGGTCCACTTTTTCAAGTTTTTGTTCGTATTTCTATATAGTACATGTTAACGATAGACGGATATTTAACATACATTTTAATAGTCTCTTGCACTGTGTAAAATATATTCATAAAATATGTTTGATCGACTTAAGGTCTATCTATCTATTTCCTGTCTGTTTTTGTATGAACTGCCACGGTTTCCAAAGTAAAAGTTGAAACTCAACAAACATAATTTGTCCAGAAAATTTCAATGTGCTTTTATCAACAGTATACGATCGGTACACTTCGAGTTCGACTTAGACTGATTAGAAAAATTACTTCCGATCAACCCGTTGACCTTCCTACAAACAAAAAATAGAATGTAGATGGTAAGTATAAAGTATTCGCACCACAATAAACCTACTTTTTCTCTTGCTGTATCCATTTCAAAACGTAAAAATACACACATCGATATCTCCATGCAATTTACACGGACATATAGTTGTTGGTGGCTTATAAGTAACGAGTAAACTTTGACATGACTTATTTTTTTGATTATACAAAATTGACAGATTTTTTCAATAATTCGAAAACACAATAACGTGCGTATTCTTCTTTGAAATATTTGTCAATAAACATACATAGAAAAAATACAGTAGGGTACTTTATGGATTATTGCATAAGTATAAACTGGTAATTTGAAATTTTTAATGAATACTTTGAAGTAAATGTAAAATACACTAAACGTTCAATATGAGAATATGAGGAAAATTAAGTCGCACAATTTGCTTTAGATTATAAGGATTTGTTTTGTTAATGCACAAAAGAAGTTAAATGCAATATATAATTCTATAATTAAAACTAATGGATTTCAATAGGATAACGTCCCATCCAGATTGAGACGTATTGATAAGTTGATCAGTGACACAAGAGTATTGAAGAGATTTTGTAGTATGTATCAGATTTTATATTATTTACGCCTTAATCTTTACTGCTTACAGACTAGCCAAATACAGATACAATATCGAGTTTTAAGATTCCCTTCTTCAGATATTTTTAAAAGCAAATGGCGAGCAGCAGGTCTCTTTAAATTTTAGTACTTGAGAAAAATTTCCAGTCACGGATTGCATTAAACGATTAATGCTATAGTTCCGAGAATAGGAAGTGGCTAAGTATATTTGAAGGTGACTACTCTACTTTTTTAATCAGGGTTGTGCGCCGCGGATGGATTATGATCAATAGCTTCTGCGCGCTCGTAAGAAGTTTACTTACCACCAAAGAATGGATTTGATTTTTTGCCCATTACTGATATCCTCAAATAGACATAATGATCTAAATGTCGATGTGCATTCGATGCAATTTGTACCAAACCGGATACAAATCGGTCAAGCCCATCCAATATTGTAGAGTAGATAGTATTAAAATTTTATTTACTTTCGTGGTTTTTTCTTCAAGAAAAAGGCCGTGAGTACAAAAGATTCCGCCATTACTGCATTTAGTTTCCGTACTTCTTTATATAACATGTTGAGGATTTATTTTAAAGAGGCACTATAACATCATAAAAGTTTCCTCTTTAGTTTTTTTAAAGATTTTCGGGTTTCAAATTTTTTCAAGACCGTCGAAACAAATTGGATTTAGAGCGGCCTAATGCATATAGCAACGAAACTATCGTCGGAAATATGACCGAAAACAATTGAGGGTTGAATTCTAATGTACAAAGTAATGAACTCATTGAGTAAACGGAAGAAACTTTAAAACATGTGTTCATGAAATTATAAATATTTAAAACGAGCGCACATTTTTATATCTACTAAAAAAACAAATAATATGTAGTCACTAAGTACATGTTTTTTTCGGAGAGATACATGAGCACAAAATACCACATCGGTTTGTGCAGAAAAGAAGATTTCGCGAGCTATGTCGGAAAGGAAGATTTCACACGTAGCGAAGACCATTGTCAGAAAAATATCTCAAATACATTTGATTTTATTTAAAAATATCTTAAACCACAGATGATTTATCACATTAACATTTTGTATAATTTCTATAACATTGCACTAAATCGTCATCTTCTTTAATATTGCTTCCTTGTGTGTTTGATAACGTATTTATGAACTTTAGTCGCATTTCAAATCCTCTACCAATACAAATTCAAAAGGATTTTTTTAAATTTTTTTCATTTATAAAAGATGTTTAAATTTAAACTTTTTGTTATATTATCACTTTGGTACGATAATTAACGAACGTGCAGTTTACAGACATTGACAAATGCATATGCTGGTACACAATAACATACCAAAAGAGAGAGAGGGTGTGTCCTATCCTTTTCTTTGGTTTTTCTAGCCTTCTGTTCTTACGAAGCAGGCTAACAATCGGAAGTATTGGACAATTTTTAATGCTGTGCTAATGTGATTACCCTTTTATATAATTCACTTTTCTATCAACTCTTGTCGTAATACATATTTCCTTCCCTGCTTTGACCTGCGATGATTTTTGTATCAACTTACAGATTTTATTTTTCAGTTCTTTAATGTTGTGCACTCTTCTTTATTATGAAGGAAAAGTATACTAATTGAATTTAATTTATTCTGCATGCTCTTGAACAAATAACAATGAACAACTGTACACAAAATGTAAATGCTGCTTGATTTACTGATGAAATAACAGTAGGTCTGCTTCATTCAAATTATTTATAACTTAAACAAGAAATAATTAATTTGAAAGCAATAACTTTTATAAATATAAACCTTAATTTAATGTGTTTATTAATGCACATTTATGAAAGTTTAGGAACTTGCGACAAAAAGTATCTAATTTAAAATAAATAACTTTTATAAACGTAAACCTCAATTCTACGTGTTTATTAATGGACATTTATAAATACTTGAGAATATTTTTAAATTAATAGCCAAAATTATCTCTAAAATAAGAAATTTTTTTTGTTCATGTGCTGTAAATATGATACGATAAAAACTCCAGGTTTCACTATTACGGTAGTGTGTTTGTTTATTGTAGCTCAAATTAAAAATAGTTCAATTTGGTTCACTGTTGCTGTTACATGTATGTTACATCATGTGTTTTAATGTAAATGTTTAAATTATACGTATTATGAAGCCACAAAAGGCTTGTGCTAAATAAACCACGATGCGAATATTTCTTGGCTAAGGGGAAATAAATTCATGTTCAATACAGTCCTAATCTTCTAGCCTAGCACTAAAATAAAAAAGTTTACGAAATCTTAGTTCTAATCCTTACTTATCTCAGAAAATGCGCCTTAACATGAAGAGTGCTGCCAGTAAAGGCTGCGTCAAATTTCATATTGAGATATTACTCTTTTCAGAACAATTTCTCCGAATCGGTATTTTGAGCTTCGAAAACAGCCAAAAAACACACAAACCCCGATTAAATAAATGAGGCGGTTGAGAAAGGGTATGACTTGAATTTCTGATCAAAAGTCTAAGCAACCAAGCAGTACGGAAATGTGCATTATCACAAAGCTCACAAATTGTACAAAATTGTGAGCGGCAGGGATTTATAAAATCCTATCAATAAAAAAACTTAGTCTTTATTCTTTGATTAATGTAATACGTGGATATAAAGTGGACTACTGCATGTAATCGAAGCGAAAAAGGGAAATCACAGGGAATGCAAAATATACGATGGCGTCTTGCTGTAGATATCATAGACTGAACATGTAGAATTAACAAATTAAATAAAGACTTTAAGTAATACTAGTCCTAATAGTAATTTTATTTTTAAATATAATGAAAACTGATTCATTGATGAAACGAGTGCTGTCCGCAATCTTCCTCAGTGACCATTTCTAAGACTTACAAAACTAAAAAAGCATTTTTCCTTTAATAATTAGAATGACACATATTGGATATGTCTTCGTCAATGTTTGATACCAAACTGACTTGAAGTGGCTTAATAAAGCACCCGCAATTCACAACCACTAAGCACATATTTTTACCTGTAATTTACCAGTTTTATTACATATGCATTTCTTCAACACTGCGATACTCTGAGCATAAACTTAAAATATGGCAGGTAATGGGTATCCAAGTCTTGCTCGGAGACGAAATAGAAACTTTTTATATTTTATAACTTAATTTTTTGCTTTTATTTTTCATTGCTATTTCATTAAAAAGTATGATTTCTTATATGTTTTGTTTATTAACGTCTTTCCTCTTACCAGGAGGTAATACTCTCACTCCTTTAGTGCCAATAAATATGCAAGACATAAAAATAGATCAAAGTTTACAGGATCAGACCCTATCTCCTTATTATACAGGTAAGCACATATCATGAAAACAATATCAAGATTAAATAATTTATTTTCAAAAATTAAAAAAATATCAGTTCAGAGGAATACGAAATTCTCTTCGCTATTTACCTACCCCACGATTTAAGTGTTTTGGCCAACTTATATTTAAACTAGTAAATTACATTACTACCTAGTAAAAAGGAATATTTATATATTTTTATATATTATTTATGTTCAAAGAAATACACTTCATTTTGTAAAATAAATATGTCTTCTTTATTGTCTGCTGTTGAATTTGCTTGACATATTAAAATGCAATTTTTATAGATCTCTCCTTAGATTAAACTTATCTGAAGGCGCCCGATGTCAACAATAACGTGGAAACAAGATAACTTTGGTTAATGTAGACTCAAAACTTTTTCTTTATACATAATCCAATATATTCACTTATTAGATCGTATGTTGCTTATAAAATAAGTTAAACAAATAGTTTTTACACTTGATTTATGCAACACGATTCACTTCGTAATTGCTTTTTATAGCTAAGCTATAACTAAAAGGTGTCCAGTCGGTTTGGGCCAATATACTCATTAAATTAACTGAACTTTAGCAATCGTTTTTACATATTTACTTTGTTGCTTAATATACTATAAAAACAGTTCACGTGAAAGAAAAAAAAAGCACCTTAGGCCAAAGGGGAGCTCGCATGGTTCATAAAGTTTCTTAGTACTATCCGATTGATTTGTGTGTGATAAGTTCAATCTTGCTGCGAGTTTGATTCCCATGCTCTGATCCCAGGGTATTCTGTGTTGTAATTATCGACCGTCAGTATCCCGGAATTTAAAGTAGCGAGGATTTTGTCTCACTTTGTGTGGAATACAAAGCACTAGTGCAACTCTACATACAATTATTTCAATTCTATATAACTTATGCACAATTTGCAAATGACCTAAAGTTTAGGCTTTATGGATAAAAATAATAAGCCAATAATAAACAAAGACCAAGTGTTATTACAAAGGAAAGAGAGAAGTAGGAAAAGGAAATTTAAGGATGATAAGCAAGAAAATATGGAAGAAAACTAGCAGAAGACAGCAAAATATTTGATTTATTAAAAAAACAATTAGCTTAGGTAATAGATTAAAATATAAGTACATGAGTGTATTACAATTGACATCTCTAGTCTGAAGAAACGCAAAGAAACAAGCCGTAAGTAATCGCTAGCAAACATCAAATTGATTTTGCTATCTTTTACGACCTTTTTCTATTCTGAGGTTTGGAAACTTCAAAGTGCGACCGGTTTAACCTTTTCCATATGAACGAAAGTCGATGTCAATTTTCAATTACGTTGAAAGCCATCAATATCGAACAATCTGCAATGACCAGTGAATACACGTAATTTATTGTATAGTTTTTTCCCCATATCAAAAATAGAGTCTTAAACAAAAACTGCTGTTTGTCTCAAACAAAAACTGCTTTCGTTTACCATACCCCAGGGTTGCCGATCATACCCTTGAACATCTCGTGGGAGCGCCATCAAAACCAATCACAAGCTGCAAATCTTGGATAATTAAACATTACGTGTTTAGTATCCTCTTCTGAGTCTTCACACTTCGGATATGCTGCTGAGCTGTAATATCCGAACCTGTGTAGATAAGTTTGCGGTGTGTTGCTCCCTTCGTATTAGCCGCCTCAACGTCGATGCCAAGCGGCATTGGCATCTTGATCGTCGCGCATAATCTTCCTGAGTAGTGGACATAAGACAAACTCTTCTGGAACGCCTGTTGCAACCTTGCAACCTTCTACACGGTTATCGACCTCGCACACCAAAATGGTAGTGGGGACCGCAATTTTCTAAAAGCGTACTGGCTTTCCGCAAGGGCACCCCTATCGAGTGATCGCTTTACGACTTTGCCCTTTCTTCCGGGCCTTGTTGAAACATTCTAACGATGCTCGTGAGTCTCTTTTGGATCGCGATCTTCTGGGGCATATTTTGGTGTGCCCTTGAAGTCAAGATCTTTTATCTTTAACTTTTTCTGCTACCACCCAGCAACTGTCCCGTAGTGATTACTAGGGTTCGGTTATCTGTTCTGTCTTTAATATCTACAACAGCATGGAGCAGCCTCTATGGGGACAGAGTTGACATAGTTTGTCGGAACTTGATAGAATATGCCGTTCGCCAAGTGTTAATATCCACCTCTTAAGCATGTGCGATCGAAGTTTTTTCTTGTACATTTTCATCACCGTCTTTGAGTTGTTGTGAATGTTCTTATGTGTAGTTAAGAAAATACCTACATTCTGTTTCATCTCAAATTGCTGCACATTTTTTCTGGATCTTAGGCAGTTTCTTAGTGGGTTTATTTCATTACTACGCCTATAATATGGGCCCCGTCTTGCACGATTTTTTTTGTTTTCAGCAGATCAGAACTGTTTTTTGGCAATGTGCATTGATTTGCTATGTGCGCGATCTCTGGGGATCGGAGCCATCTAATGGGGTTACCCACCCAATCTTAAAATTAACAGCCTAATGCGTTCGCATTCTTAGCCTCGATTTGACAATGAAAATGCATTCTTTATCGTTTTTTCTGCAACTTCATCTGAGTCCCTAACCTGCTGCTTCCCTTTTGCCTGAGAGAGAGAGGTCTACGGATTATCCCCCTTGCAATCAGCTCAATACCCCTTATCAACCGCCCGTATTTGCACAACTTTGCATTAACTGGAATAAGACGTATATGTTGTATATTAGATGTTTACTAGTCCTTCTGCGGAGGTGTACTGACCTTAAATCGACCACTCATTTTTTAATATAAGAAGAAGAATATGAATTTACTAGAAAAACGACGGATTTAATATAACTGCTGAAAAATAAAAGTCTAACAGGCCGATAAAATCCAACTAGGATATTTTCGAGGTTATTTTCAAATTGAACTTTGTCAATCCAGGCTACATTTGAAATCAAAGCTGGCAGTTAAATTTGCAAAATTTAGGCGCGTTCTTTTCGAGTGTTAGGTTCCTTAAGAAATGGACCACACAATCGCGTAGAAGGGGGTATTTTAAAATAAGTGAATCAGTTTTGATGGCCCCCGTCTATTGTAGTTTTACCAAAATAAACGACGCAATCAGAATATTTGACGACTATAAAGGTGCATTAAAACCATCCTTGCTGGCAGATGTGGCCATTATGAACAATAGACGAATTGCCTTCATGGCTGGCTATAGAAAACAAATTTTCGAAAATGGATCTACCGAAAGCATATCTGCAATTGGAAATATACCCTGGTGAGCGTCATTTACTGACATAGAATGCCGACATGGAGTTATATTAGTCAGCTCGGACGGCATTTGGCATGGAGAATATACCAGTAAAGTGGGCGAAAGTTCATGAACTAATTTTATGTCATATGTTTTGTTTAAGCAAACAGCAAGTAAGTATGAATAGGTTAGAATTCCTCCGAGGTTATATTGAGTAGTGTTTACAAATTGTAAAGTAAAATTGATGCTATGGAGGGTACGTATATTCTCAGGCCTACTCAATTTGTATGGTCGATTCATCATAGATCTAAGTCAGATAATATTAGTTTGGGGAAAAAGAAATCCATTATTTTTCTATGAACTTCAGGACTTTATTTAACATGCTTCGGATTGGCCGATTTGGATCAAATATGCACCGTTTTGTTGTATGATTTGTTGCCATTTTAAAGGTAACTTCAAAATGCCTCTCTCATAGAAGTCCTGGTCTCTATTTGCAAAAAAACTCTAGTAGTCGATTTTCACAATCCTCCCTAGATTCCAATTTTTTATCATTAAAGAAATTTTGCAATGCAAGAAAAAGATGATAATCGCTTGGTGCCAAGTCCAGACTGTATGGCAGATGCATTAAAACTTCCCAACCAAGCTCCCGAAGTTTCTGGCGAGTCACTGTAGATGTGTGTGGCCTAGCGTTGTCCTGGTGGAACACGACACCTCTCCTGTTGGCCAATTCTGGCCGTTTCTGGTCAATCGCTATCTTCAAACGGTCCAGCTATTGACAGTAGAGATCAGAATTTAGTGTTTGGCCAACAAAAAAAAAAGCAAAAGAATTTTTTTTACTGCGAAATGTCAGCTTTCCAACGAGCTTAAATCTGAAATTGTTTGATCGATACTTTACGATAAATCTATCAGTGCAGCCATTTACCGAAAAAATAATGGATTTCTTTTTCTCCAAGCTAATACGTCTATTAAATCAGTTATGACTTAAGGATGCGGTATTCCGCTTCAATAAAGAATATGTAAAAGCTTTCAGTGAAATTAATATGTTAATGCAATGACTTTAAATTCACAATGCGTTCTTACCATACATACTCTTCTTCTCGTTATAGCCCGATGATTAAAGTGTTTCTTCTGTCTTCCGCATGTATTAGTAACACTTCGCTCAAGTTTTTTAGTACTGCCTCTGTTGCACTTTTTTCAAAATGACCGCGTGAAACTGCTTTTTATTTGAGCCTGCTACGATCACGGTTGCTTGAGCGCTTTTTCTTACTTTTCTTCGCTATTTGCGTTGCTTTGTGTAGACTTCCCTTATGAGATTATTGTCCTTCTCTGTGCTTCGAATGAGTTTGGCTGACCTTCTGGACAGCGTTAACGTGAAAGTCATTTTACACGGATGTAACTTCTGCTTGCTCAGATAACGGAATACTGCCTACACCATCTTGATAGCGTCTATTTGTATTCTCTACCCAGTATACCATAGCCAAAAGTTTACCGAGCTTGATCTTGCTGTCCACCCATAGGTTTAATGCGGATATTTCTCTCCCACGTTCCCATTCCCATATTGGAAGTCGAAACTACTTACATAGGGGCCGGCGCCTACTCGTCATATTGTAGAAGAATTATATGGTTGTTTAGTCTTTTCAGCCGTCTCTCGTCTCCTGTCCCTTTTGGTAAGGGGCTGCTCTTTGGTTATCTTCAAGTACTCTCTTAACCCTGTGTGTTTACATTGCAGTAGAAACGCTTATGGCTACGCTTGCATTAAAATGAATTACATGTATAAG